CCGCCGCGCCGCGGTACTCGAGGACGGCGAGGACGGCGACGACGGCGACGACGACGGCGAGGACGCGCTGGAGGGCTTATCAGTCCTCGCAGGGCGTGTGATGAGGACGGCCACTGCTGCCGCCGCGGCTTGGCGGGACTTCATTCAAATTTCCCGCCAAAACGGGGCGTCCCCATTGGCCGCGCCGCAGCTGGCGACGCACGCGGCTGCACCGGGCTGGCTGCACCGCGACGATGCGGCGGTCAGCACGAGAAGGAGAGGCCGTGTGAACCGCGAGCACGGCGACGCAATCTCCGCGACGACTGGCGACGTCTGCACGCCGATTCCGAGAGTGCGTCTCTCTCTCATTCCCGAACGGGTGCGAGAGAGACAGGCAGGGCCCCTCCCCTCCGCTCAAGCTTGTCCGCACGCCGCGCGTGAACCGAGCGACTCCGAAGGACCGCTTCGTCGCCCTGTCTCTCTCGCACTCATGGGGCGTTCCGCAAGGGTGCGACGAAAAGCTCTGCTCGGAATCAGGCCGCAGCCTCCCACCTGGAGCAGGCCGCCCGGATAAGTCACGGCGCCGATAACGCGACCAACGCGACGCCGCGCCGCGCCGCGCCGGCCAGACCAAGGGCCTGACCTACGCCACTGTAGTGGAGAGCCGCAGCGACGCCGAGCAGGACGAGCAGCAGACCGATTCCGAGAGTCGTTTTCGTCGCTCCGTCTCTCTCGCACTGACAGGGCATCCCGTATCAGTGCGAGAGAGCCGGAGCGACGAAAACGACTCTGCAGGACGATCAGGACGCGGGACCGCTCGCAAGAAAGTGGAGCGACGGAGGATTATCGATCTGGATTTTCGGCAATGTCGCGATAGCGATAGCAATGGCATCGCAATCAGATTACGGCGGAGTGGGAGGGGGAGGGGGCGTCGACTGCATGTGTCCCTAATGGCGGATAGATTACGATTCAAAGCGGGACAAAGTGCCACTGCATCCACTGCATTGCGCGGCGATGCTGCAAGCGTGCTGCCAGCGCTGCCAGTGTGCTGCCAGTGTGCTGGCTGGCGGACCCGCGTCCCGCGCTTCTCGTTGCTGCTGCTGACTGCTTAGTCGTTTTCGTCGCTCTGTCTCTCTCGCGTCCCCACGACGCAGCCCATCAATGCAAGAGAGACAGAGCGACGAATACGCCTCTCGGAGTCAGTCCGTTGCTGCTGCTGGTTGGTCCATCAGGCCGCCTTCGTTTGACCGGAGTTTGACAGGTCCCGCGATAGCGAGGGGGGACGCCGCTGGGTGCTTTCGTCGCCCCGTCTCTCTCGCACTCGCGCGGCGTGTCGCTGGGGTGCGAGAGAGACAGAGCGACGACGCATGTGTTCGGAATGAGCCATGCTCCCTCCCTGCCATGTCGGGGCGCCGCGCGCCGAGCTTTTCGGCGGCTTTCGAGAGCGAGGAGATGGAGGATTGAAATAAAATGAGAATCCGGAGTCCGGAGGGCACGGCTGCGGAAATTATGCCAGCCTTTGTTGGCTCGGGCCCCTCGTCCTCACACTCACACACACACTCACTCACTCACACACTCACACACACACACACACACTCACACACACACACACTCTCAGAGTGTAGAGATCGCGGCCGGGTGTTTCATCCATGCAGGCGATGGCTTATTTGAGAACAAAAGGCGACGGCGACACGACGGCCAACGCAAAATAAAGACCAAAAGGGCCCCGGGGCACGGCGGGCACGGCGGACACAGCGGACACACGACACGGCCCCAAGCTCCAACATCGGACCCGAGGGAATTACCAGGCGGAACCCAGACCGCCGTTGGACCTCGAGAGACCATCAGTGAGCCCGGGGTTGCCACTGGTTGCCGCGTAGAAGCGACAACAACAACAATAAGGTGCGTGGTGGGGCTCACCGGCGTGTAGGGCAGCGTGAGCGGCAGTGTCACTGGCGGGTCGTCGGTATCCAAAGGGCACGACCACACATAACAAACAGTCACTCGCTCGTTCGCGTCGCGTCACTGTCACGCTCGTCACGGCGCGGCACACTCGTGGTCGTCACGTCGCTTCGCGTCACGGCACGCGTCTTCGGCGCGGGCGGCGGGTGTGCGGTTCGCGGGCAGGACCAGCGCGTCCGTCCGGGTGCAGCTCCGTTGGCCAACTAGCCTCGCCCTCGCCTCGCGGTGCGCGGGACGGGACGATACGAACACAGTCGGCGGCGCGCCGGCATGGGGGCGGGGAGGGGGGCTCTCGCCTCGCGTTGCGCCCCGCACTGCGGCCCCACACTGCCTGGCCGGCCTGCCTCGCCTGCCTCCGTCGTAACTGGAGAGAGAGGAGGGACGGGCACCCCACCGCCCCCTTCTGTTTCGCCAGGCTTCACTGCTTGACTGCAGCGGTCAAGCCGGCGTCAACCGCATCGCCGATTGGATTGGACCGCGTGCGTGCCAGCAGGGCCAGCAGCAACAACAACAAAACGACTTGCCTGCCTCCTTCCACGACGACAACATCAACAACAACCGCGTGCAGCTCGTGCAGCACAGCGGCCGCGACGGGGAGGCGAGGTGCGGGAAGTCACACCTACCAGTGCGACTCACTCGCGCACGCACACACACACACACACACACACACACACACGAAACGCGTCCGCTCACACCTGTTGTTGGTGCCAAGCTGCCGGTCCACACCTGAAGCCAATTGACTTGGCCGGCAGCTGAGGGGCGTGGGTGTCTTCATTATGCTGCGCCGGAGAAAATACAATCCAAAGGGAAAGAGGAATAGGATGTCGTTTTGGGGCATAGACCTGGTAGGGGTGGGTGGTGTGGTGCCTTGGCGAGTCAAGGCGCCTGTACTTGTGGGGGAGGCCACCGCGCCGCTTCTGTCCTGTCTTCGACTCTCTCACTCACACACACACTCACAAGAGCAGCCTTTTGTGGTGGTGAACAGCTCCATCAGCCCCTTCGCATCCCTTTCGCCGCAACGGCAGGTAATTGAGTCGGAGTGAGACAGCCACTTACGCAATGTGTAGTGTTGGCACGGCTCTGTTGGTGTTGTTGGTTTTGTTTGTTGTTGTTGTTGCTGTTGTTTCGGGAAACGGAAACTGCAACTCAGCGCCGCCGCCGTGCAGCACTGTTATTTCAGTTGCAACGCCCTCCTGCCAAGTTTTAAAATACAAATTTATTGCGATACATTTGCCATTTTATAATGCCCGCCTAACCTCGTGTCAAGTATTTGGAGTTGAAAACATCCTTGTTTGGTCGAAACTGTGAGACATGTCAAGAAGGAAGTGTGATCTTGACAGAACTTTGGCGGCTACTGCAGCTTATCTTAGCCGGTTGTCGAACTTCCGAACTTCCTATTCGAATCTGTGATCCGCCTTTCTCGGCCTTTCTTCCAGGTTGTGACTAAGTCTCCCGCTTCCGTCGTGCCCGCTGGCGACGGTCTGGCGACACAGCCTTTATGGCTTTGTCTCGCTGCTCGGCTTCTGGCGTGCGACTCCGAAGGTGAGTTTTCGTCGTTCTGTCTCTCTCGCACCCTTTTGGGACGGCCGCTCTGAGTGCGACAGAGACGACCCTGCGGACGCGGCCTGTGCATGGGACACTCCGGACACTCGATCCGCGGCCCGTTGGCGACTCGCGTGCCTGCCCCCCGTGGGGCCACCGCGGCCACGCCTCGCGTCGTCCGGCCGGCCGGCCTAGGGACCTAGGCCTGCAGCTAGCGACAGCCCCGACACGCGCGCGGCCACGCGGCCACGCGGCCGTGACGGACACGTGTCATCGCGACGTGACACGGCGGCGCCAAGGGTTCGACTCCCGGCGACGGCGGGGCTCTGCAGTCTGATTCCGAGAGCCGTTTCCGTCGCTCTGTCTCTCTCGCACTCATTGGACGTCCCGTACAGGTGCGAGAGAGACAGAGCGACGAAAACGACTCCCTGAATCAGCCTGCTGACCGCTTTGACGGACGGGGGTCGCTGCCGGCGCCGGCCGGCCCCAAGCCCCACCCAATTTCTCGCTCTAATTGTCCGAGGAGCGGGTAGTAATTGTTGTTTGGACTGTGTGGGGCCTCGGCGGCCACGGCCTTCGCTTCCTCCGGGGCCTCGGGGGAAGTGCCGTCGCTGCCGTCGCCCAGTCCCGGTGCGGTGCGCGGCGTGCGCGGTGAGGGGCAGGCCCGGGGCAGGCCCGGGGCAGCCCGTCCGTCCCGTTAATGAAGTAATTCGAGGGTACTGTTCGCGCATAACAGTCCAGCCCCGCCCGGCCGCGAGCCATTGGGGCATTGGGGCCGTGGCCGCGTTGGGCCGCCAGACCGCCAACGCCGCCACCGATGCAGCCCGGCAACAACGAGCACTGCGCACTTGGCGTCCTGGACAGTGCGACGTCGTGCGCAGCAGTCTCGCCTCCAAACTCCAACTCTCGCGAGGCGGTGTCGCGCTTGTTTCCCAGACAGTTTCCTCTTTTCCTGCCGGGATTATTTGGCACTCACTCAACAGGACAGGACATGGCACAGCGGGGCCGCGGGGCACGGCGCGGGACTTGGCGGCTGGCGCGGGCTTCCCCCTCCATACCCCACACCACTAGTTCCCCCTCCTCGCCCAAGCGACTCTCATCATCCGGTCGACACGGTTGGTGGTGGGGGTTATCAACTTTCAAGCCGTAGCAACATCGTGGGGGGATGTAGCTCAGTGGTAGAGCGTTCGCTTTGCATGTGAAAGGCCCCGGGTTCGATCCCCGGCATCTCCACACTTTTTTGCGCCGAGTTGCAATAGCATTGGTAATGTTCGCCTTGGCAGTGCGCGCGGTCGTGAGGTTCTCATTGTTCTGTAACCTAGGATGCCGTCATCTGTTTTTCCGGAATTGTCTTTCGTCGCATTTTCTCGAAATGAGTCATGGCGGGTCCGCAGAACCGCTATTCTCTGTCTTATCTGCAGACAGGACTTGATGTTGGCCGGGCCGTCGAAATGCGGGAGAAAAACATTCAAAAATAGATTCCTGGGCGAACCTCCTCCGCGCGCAAGCTGAGCAAGATGGACATCATTGAGAGGGAAGAACCCTCGCTGGACGGGAAGCTGGCCAAGCCCATGTTCTGGGGCAAGGTGGCGGGCTTCACGGCGCAGGAGCTCAGGCCAGAGATGTTCGACGAGTGTCTCAAGCTGATCGAGGTATGCATGCGAAACGGCTGAGGGCCTTTAGGACTCTACTTTGCATAGAAATCTCTCACGTTCTGCCAACTCTGCAGAAGTACCTGATCCCCGAGGAGGCCATGTGTGTCGCGCTGGACATGAAGTCGGACGCCGTCAGCAAAGCCACCCTCCTGGCCAGCGCCAGGGACTGCATGAAGGACGGCACCTCCATCGTGGTGCTCAAGGGAGAGGACTACGTGGAGGAAGAGGACGAGGACGACGGCGGCGAAGAGCAACCTGCATCAGGTGTGCCCACCGCCGGCGACAGCGGGGACACCCACGACGACGCAGTAGATGAAGGGGCGGGCGAAGCAAACGGGGTAGGCGGCGAGGCGGGATCAGTGGAGACACAGGACGAGTCCGGGGACGCGGTGGACGCGGTGGACGCGACGGCGGTCGCGGAGGACAAGGATGCGGACGAAAGAGAGGGCAGCGAAAGGAGCGAGCAGAAGGACGAGCAGGACGTTCAAGCCGAGGAGGACGACGACGGCACCGTGCTGTCCTCGGAGGAGGAGCGCTGGCGGAAAGAGAGACGAAAGCGGAGGCACAAGAGGAGAAAGAAAAGAAGACAGGCGGAAGAGAGGAAGCAGTTGGAGGAGCAGCAAGGCGATCAAGTGGTGGAAGAGGAGGCGGAAGCGGAGGCGCGGGACGAGGAGGACGACGGCGAGGACGAGCGGCGCGTCGTGGCCGTCATGGTGGCCAGGGTGGTGCAGCGCACGCAGCACATGCGCTCCTTCAGCAGGATCAAGGTACGCACTGTCGCACTGTAAAACAAAACCGTCGACAGAAACCTCACTCGGCTTTACTGCCTCACGGCGTCGCCGGCCGTTCCACTGTCCCACCCCGTTCCACTCCGTTCCGCCAGGTTGTCCAGGGCGACGCGTACCAGCAGTGGCTCGCACTGCGCTGCCACCTGCAGAAGACAGCCAATCTGTTCGAGCGCTACAACCTGGACACGTACTACCGAGTGTATCACATTGTCGTGCACCCCGACTACCGCAAGAAGGGTAAGCCAGGCGAAGCCAGGATGGGCTGTGACTGTAACCGCCAATAAAGAAGATCGACGCAGCGGCGGGGCGACGCGGCCTCTGACCCGGCCGGCCCGGGGCGCGGCACTGTAAGGCTCTGGCCCCCAGGCGTGGGGTCGTTCCTAGTGAAGCTGGCGTCGCTGCGGCTGGCCGAGCTGTTCGCGGGCCTCGGCACGGTGTGCACGGCGGTGGCGCCGTCCAGGGCGTCGCAGCGGCTGCTGGCGCGGCAGGGCTTCAAGCCGCACGCCGTGCTCCACTACCACGAGTGGAAGGACGACCAGGGCCGGGCCATCATCACGGGCGCGGGCACCGGCAACTACAGCGCCGTCCTGGCCGTGTTCGAGGTGAGCCCGCGACCGCCACGACGCCCTACTAGTACGTGCCCGACGACGCCCCCACGCCCCGCAGGTGGCCCCGCGCGACCCCGACGTGCCGCTGGACGTCAGCCCGCTGGTGGACCGCGTGGAGGAGGTGCCGGAGGGCCCGCGGCCGGTGACGGCCTTCCCCGGCCGGGAGCAGGGGCTGTCGCGGCCGCCCAAGCCGGAGTGCCCGCCCGCACACGAGGAGCCCCCCTTCGGCATCGCGACGGCGAGGCCGCGACCGCCCAGGGCGCTCTCCGAGTGGCAGGCCGACGACGGCCAGGACGACCGCGCCCTCGACCGCGCCCCCGGCAGCCACAGCCAGGCTGGCTCCAGCAGGGACTCCAGGGGCTCCAGCAGCCAGGCGGCCAGCAGCAGCCAGGGGACCAGCAGCAGCCGCGGGGCCACCGGCAGCAGCAGGAACAGCAGCGCGACCGGAGCCACTGGGGCCTCTTGAAGGAGGCCGTCGTGGTCTAGCCGTCTAGGCAGGCCGGGCAGCAGACAGCTGTCAGTCGCGAGTTAATTACAAGGCAGATAAACCCCGGCCGATTTTCATTCGGCTCATTTGTTCCTCGACGACGGGGGGACGCGACGGCGAACGGGGCTGGGCCGAAATGAAACGAAATGAACTCATCGCTCACTCGTCCAGCCGTCCAGCGAGCGGGGAAGGCTGTCCGGGGGGTCTTGGGGGCGGGGAAGACCACCCCTCTGCCTTCGGGGCACGGCACCAGCGGACTTGTCCGGGGGCAACCCGCAGCACAAAAACCAAGTTCGCAGGCAGCAGACACTCGGCCGGGCTGGCGCAGTGCAGCTCTCTCACCATCATCATCTCTCTCTCTCCTCTCTTCCCTCGCCCGCGCCACGTGTAGGGCTGACCTTGGAACGGATCCAAAAGTCAGACGAACGTCCGGTGGAGACGAACCAAAGAATCAAAGACAATTAAAAGTCGTGGGAGGAAAGGGGCGAGCATAAGAAGTGGCGCGATAGCGGATGTTTGTGACGACTGCCAAGCAAACGGTGGGACGGGAGGGCCAGCGCGTTCTGCTGGCCAGTCAGTTCGGAAGTGCCTTCGGGCCTGAAGAGGCTGGACATCGTCGTGCGTCGCATCGCTGCAAACTGGCCGCCGGCTTGAGGAATATGGCTACTAATTTATGGGAGAGACGCACGCAGCCGACATGGCAGATGGCAGCACAATGAATAGTGTGGGAACAAGCAAGTGCGGAGAGGCTGGCCTGCGTGCAAAACCGTCTTGCATGCACTTCACTTTCCGGCAGTTAGATTGACGTCCCGTTGCCGAGCGATGCCGTGTTCTTCACCCTCTCCTTTGCCCTGTTCCACCGACTCGATTTGCACGCTGCCGCCCTGTTCTTTACCGTCGCATTTGCCCTGTTCCACCGACTGGATTCGCACGCTGCCGCCCTGTTCTTTGCCCTCCCCTTTGCCCTGTTCCACCGACTGGATTCGCACGCTGCCGCCACTGCCGCGCGAACAGTGCTGCTCCGGCTTCCGGCAGGCCGTGGCCGCGGGCCGAACTACGTGGCCAGGGGCTGGGCTGCGCTGGGCGGCCCCGTCAGCGGGCGCCCTCGCGCGGAGACGCCGCGTACTCGGTGGAGGCGGCGGGCGCGTGTGGCGCCCTCTGGGCGGCGGCGCTCGCAACCAGCTCGGCGACCGTGGCGCCGCCGGCCGCCGGTGGCAATGTACGGAACTGCGGGGTGACGGTGGCGCTGCCCCGCGGCACATTGCGGAACCGCTGAGCGTGGCGGCAGCGCGGCAGGCCGCGTGGCTTCAACTCGTGGACACGCGGCGGCGTGGCGTGCTGACGGTGCTGGCCTGGCTGACGCCAATAGGAATAGGACGCCGTTCTCCAGCGGGATGGGAAGGAATGGAATGGAACCGTCCGGCCGGACGACTGTCCAGTCCAGGTGCTAAATCCTGCCAGGACCGGGACATACCGCTGCCGCGGCGGGCCGGCGGGACCCGCGCGGAACCGGCACCGCGCCGTTGAGCTGTCAGGCACTAGAAACGGCGGAACTGCCTCAAAAAACGAGTCGCGCCGTTCTTTTTGCTGCTATTCTTGGTGCGATCCGGGCCTAGGCCGCCTAGGCCGAGGGCGAGCGACGCGGTCGGCGCTGTCCGCTGTCGGCCATGTCGTTGCCCCGGAGAGGAGAAGAGAACTCGTGTTGTTGGCTCCAGCTTCCAGCGCCAGCGCGTCCAGCACGCGAACGCCAATTCCAAGATTCCAGGCACGGCCGGCCTCGCCTCTCGGAGATGGGAAGGCTCTTCTCCTCGATCGGGGCAAGGCGGGGCGCGGGGACGTTGGGCCCTTGGGCGAGCCGGGCCGGGTCAGATCGCCTTGCCGGTGGCAGGCCTGCCGACCCTGGCAGCCGTTGGCAGCCCTCACTGCCTCGGTGCGTGTTCCATCACGGGCCTACGGGCCTACGTACGCACTGGACTGGCAGTCTGCAGTCTGCGTGTCGGAAAGGAATTTGGGCCCCTTCCGACTGGATGATGCCGCCGGCCGCCCCACCCCGCCCCGCCACGCTCCGCCCCGCCACGCCGCGGACAAAAACGCCAAACAAACGCCGTGGCGTGCCGGCGTGCCCACACGGCGTGCCCTGCTCTCCGTGAATGCGGCATGCGGCTTTCCACGAAGCCTCGCATCAGGCTCGGCCCGGCCCGGCCCCTCCCTCCAGCGGCTTGTTTTGGTCTGGAGCTGGAGCGGGCTGGAGCGAGCCTCCAGGAGGGCGTCCATCCGTGACCTACGTTCTGGAGCCTCGCCGGGCCGAAGCCGAAGCCCCGCCGCAGCCATCATTGCCGATCGAACTCGTTCACACCTCCGGCGTGCCTCCGGCCGCCGGACGCTGCCTTGTCCGCCGAGATCGCCGAGGGACTCGCGCTCCAAAACTGGACCGTACAGTAGTCCCTGCTTGCGCAGTCACTTTTCTAATTTGGCGGCAGCCGTAAAACACCCGGCAGGGTGTTTTCATCACAGCGCGGCGGTTCCAGCTGCTCCGTGGAGCTCCGCGGCGCGAGAGCCGCGACGCACTTCGCCTGCCACGCCCCGCCCCACCCCCAGCCCGCGCGCCCCTCCCCCTCCCCTCCCCTGCCCTCCCCCTGCCCACCCCCTGCCATCCCTCCCCAACCCCGGGAGGCGCGGAGGCACGGAGGGCGCAGGCCGGCCGCCCAAGGCCATGGGCGCCATGGAGCCCCGGCCGCAGCCCCGCAGCAGCCAGGCAAGCAGCAGCGCCAGGGACGCCAAACTGCGCCGCGAGTTCAATTTCAGCCCATTCCCGTCATTCTTGGGGTGGTTTCGTTAGTCTTCTCGGGCCGGCTTCGGACTCCAGGGCAGCACGCCTGCCTTGGCGCGCCCTCAGAGTTGGCGAAAAGCGTTGAAGGCGCCGCGCAGCAGGGCGCCAGGAAACGTTCCGCGGCACCGTCGAATCCAACTCAGTCATGAATGCCTTCGTTGTTGAGCGCCCGAGTGGGGGCGTACCCAGACGCGTACAGTGTAGTATCTGAAATTGCCTGCTAAATAGCCTGCCCCTTCCGTCACCAAAGGGGTGCATCCGCGGCGCACGACTGCGTGGCTGTCGTTCGCGCTGCCGGCCTTCTGGACCAGGTCCACGGCCTCCGTCACCTGACGCCCCGCCACGCCCCGCCACGCCCCGCCCCGCCCCGCCACGCCCCGCCACGCCCCACCACGACGCGATGCGCTCGTCGCGGCTCGCATTGTCCACGCATGTAAATGCGCAAAAAAAGTGCGGAATAGCAAACAGCGGCAGCACGCGCGTGCGCCTCGCCACGGCCGCGCGTCGCCTCGCGACCGCGGCATGGTAATCAACTGGACCGGCCCGGCAGGACGGCAGGACCACGGGGAGCGGGCGGGGCGGGGCGGGGCGGGGCCGGCAGGGCGTGGCGCGCGAAAAAGTGACGTGCCGAGACAACAAGCAACGTCGCAAAAAATAATGATGTGCGCCGTATGTGTGTGAGAGTGAGTGCGGGGGCGGCGGCCGGAGCATACTAGACCGCTGCAGTTGCGCACTTGCGCCGAAAATGACCCAAACTGGTTTCCCTGACGCAACCGCGTTCGCCTTTTCTTCTCTTTTTTCCGAGTCCGAAAAGCCCGCCCTAATTTCGTCACTGGCGCAAGCTTCGCGCGGCTTGCGCTAGCGAACGTTTTTCAAAAGCGGCGCGCCTTGCGGCTGCCGCGACCCTCTCCCGCTGCAAGAGGCCGAAGGAGGCCGAGAGGGAGGAAGATTGCAAGGCTAAGCCGGTCCGCGACTCCGCGTGCGAAAATAGCCGAAAGACCGCCCCTTCCCTTCCATCGCCAACAAACACGGCAAACAGCACCAACACACTCACAGGGGGAACGCGGCGGCACGCCGATCAGAGCAGAGGGTGCAGAAAATCCAGAGTCCCTCCATAACTGTCAACTGTCGCGAAAAAGCCATTCCGAAACTGCCCCTGGTCCACCCCGCCCATCCATCCACTTCGTGCGAGACACCAGCCAGGCGGCGTCACTGGCGTCCAGAAAAACGATCCGCGTCAAAAGCCCTTTACTTGACGAGGGTCGGCCCAAAACTGAAGACGTGTTCGAATCACTCGTTCCGAAGTTCCGCTGCCGGTAGCCCTAGCGGGCGGGGCGCGGCGAGGCGGGGGGCCGCGGGGCCCCAAGGGCTCAGCCAGCTCAAAGGGCATCGCAGTGACATCTCGTGCGGCGATTATGGCCGCTGCAGCATTTCAAAAAACGGAGGGACTGGCGCGCTGGCGCGCGGGGACCAGGGGCCGTCCAGGGACCAGGGACGGCCCGCCTCGTGGGCTTCCGGCTGATAAGGCTTATCGAGTGTTTGCCAGGCCTTGGGCTGCCTTGGGCTGCCGTGGGCTGCCTTGGGCCCGGCAGCGTAGAGGCACCAGCAATCAGACAGTCCCGCGGCGGCGGTGGCACTCCCAGGACCGCCGGCACGACCAGGGCGGCCAGGACGGCCGCCAGGAGCGCGAGGGACAGGGAGGAGGCGGGACGCGACGCCGCCGTGCCGCCGCGCCGCGGACGCGCCTCCTTTCGCGGAGCGAGGGGGCGGCGAGGGGCGGCGAGGGGCGGCGAGGGGCGGGGGCAGCCCTTCTCCGCCGAGTATAGCCAAGACGCGTGCCGCCCGTCCGCCTCCAAGACCCTCCCTCCGCCCTTCCCTTCCCGTCCAGCCCTTCCCGCCCGCTCACCGGTAGGCGCGCGCGGGCACACACACACACGCGCACACGTACACACACAGTGCGCAGACAGCCAGCTCGCAATGCGATGTAATTAGCATATGAAAGGTGAGCCAACCGGGCGCGCACCGAGTTTTTGCTCTGCTCAAGAGCTACAATCAGGATACATAAGTACGTCTGCGTGTGTGTGTGTGGGTGAGGCTTGAAACGGCCAATATGAGGCCTGGGCCGCCTCGCCGGCTTGCCGCCGTGGGGCGCGAAAGGGGTTGCCAACTGGAGACTGAGGGTCGTTTTCGTCTCCTGTCTATATCGTTGCTCATAGGGCGTTCCACTATGTAGGTGCGAGAGGGGCAGAGAGATGAAAACGACTCTCGGAATCAGTCTGCTAGTAACGCCATGCCGGGGTTTCCTCACGCGTCTTCCCCCGAATCGCGGCTCGGCTCGGCGTTTTACAGGCCAAGAACGGCCCGTGAAATCCCGTTGGCGGGGCGGCGGCGCGGTGCAGTGCGGCGGGCCGGCGCTAAAACAGACGCTAAACCGCCGCGCCCCCACGAGACGAAGCACGGCAAGCACGGCGAGGCGGGCCGAAGTAGTCGTGCTAGTGGCAGTAGCTCCGGCCGTTTCCATGTACTGCAGACATTTCCCAGAGAGATTGAGCGGCGCGCGGACTGGGGAAGCAGCGGAAGCAGCTTGCGGCTTTCTCGGGGAGGGAAGCAGGGAACTCCGAAAGCAGGGAATCCGAGGGCATCAGCTCCCAGCATGATCCAGCTTCAGCCGCGAGCGTCGAACCCGCTCCAACAGTGGATTTTGAGGAGGTTGCCTGCAGACTGATTTCGAAAGTCGCTTTCGTCGCTCTGTCTCCCTCGCACCGACACGGGACGCCCCATGAGTGCGAGAGAGACAGAGTGACAAAAACGAGACTCTCGGAATCAGTCTTCAGTTAGCGCTGAACTTTTAGTTCTCAGAGTAGATTCATCTTTTTCGAGAAACGCTGTTCATTTTCCGCACGTTGCCAAGCGAGAGGGGATGACACACCCCCCAAGACCCTCTCTGGGGGCCCTTCGAGGCCCTTGCAGTCCCCGACGCCCCGACGCGGGAATGCAATCTCAGTCCGAAAATGAAAATGACGCCCCTCGCAGTAATCACTGCAAAGAGTGTTCGGTTCGTGGCTCCGTTTTCCGGGCCTGCAGACTGATTCTGAGAGTCGTTTTCGTCGCTTGCCTTTCTCGCACTCATGGGGCGTCCCGTATAGGTGCGAGAGAGACAGCGACGAAATCGACTCGGAATCAGTCTGCAAGCAACCTCCTTCTGTATCCGCGAAATCCCCAAACCATCCCCCAGGAGACCCCATCGGCATGCACCCCCCGCTGTCGCCTGGTAATGAGAAAATGCAACCTGTGCTGACATCTGGCAGCTCCAGGCCTTTCAGACCTTCAGACAGTACAGACTGATTCCGAGAGTCGTTTTCGTCGCTCTGTCTCTCTCGCAGACATGGAGCTACCCGTTTCTAGGTGCGATGGAGACAGAGCGACGAAAACGACTCTCGGAATCAGTCTGCAGGCTGTTTCTGGCAGCTCCTGTACTGGCCGGGGCTGCCGGGGCGGAGCGGAGCCCCGCGAGCTTTGTGCCCAAATGAGACAGGGGGGAGCCACCCTCTGATTCTGCCTGATTCCGGGCGGGGCGGGGCGGCCCCCGTCGGTCGGTCTCTCTCGCGCCAATACGCGACGCCGGCCGTGAGCGCGAGAGAGAGCGCCAGGGGCTGGCGGGGGCCCAGCAGCGATGACGCGGCCGCGCATGGATTTGCGCGGTGAGGGCGGTCGGCGGGGTCGGCCGCCGCCGAGCGAAACCGAAGATTCCTAGCGTCGCTCTTTCTCTCTCGCACCCCTCCGCGGCGCCCCGCCAGTGCGAGAGAGACGGGACGAGTCTGCGCGCCGGGCGCGATGCACGCGATGCATGGCAGATCAGCGCGGATCGCAGCATCGCGGCATCGCAGCCAGGTGAGGGGAGGGGGAGGGGCGGGGCCACACCGGGCCGGCAGGCAGCCAATGCGAAATGCCGCGATCCCGGTGCAAGCAGTGCTCACGCAGCGTGCGCCAAGGCCGGGGAAGGGGTGAGAGAGTGAGAGGGCACGCAGGGCCGCGCAGGATGCGAACGCAACGCGCGTATTAGCGCGGCGCGGCAATTAAAAATGGTCGCGGAGGGGAGGGGGAGTGAAGAGCGAGGGGTGGGTTGGGGCAGGCCCGGCAGCTCCGGCCGAGACGAGCCTTTCCGCGGAATCGAAGAACAAAGTGAAAGTCAGTCCCGGCGGCTCGGCGTCCCGGAGGGAAGCGGAGGGCGCGCGACTTGTTTGGAAGGGTGATTGCAGAAGGGGAAGCGAGGCGAGGCGCAGCGCTCTGAATTTTTCGCTGCGCTCTTTTACTTTTTTTTTTCAAAATTAATGATGGCGTCCTTTGAAAACACGCAAACGCTCTCTGGAAAGCCCTCGGTGGTGCGTGCACCGTGTTCTTACCACATGTGTTTGTTCGGTCGCTGGCTATGAATGGACATAGCCCCTGCACTGTTAGCTTTAGGTAAAGGTCAATATTTTCAAACAACAGGTTTTTTCCGGTTTTTTTTTCGCAGTTTTGAATTGAGGCTTCGACACGGGGCTCTCCAGCTCGACTTGGAACACGCCCTCCTTGACCATGCTCAGCGCTCGTCGCGCTCGGCGCGTGCTTTGCCCGTCACCAAAGGCTGCGTTGAGCAACGCGCCGAATCAATACCACACAGTTCGGCCAATTTCAACACGGCCACGCCCGCCACGTCGGCCACATCATGTCGGCCACGTCAGCCACGTCGCCGGGGAGGGCATGCCAGGCCACTGGAAGGGCCGTCGCCGTCGATCGGCCGCGCCTTCGTCAATCGGTCTTTGATTCGCGTTTCATTGTGGCGACGGCCGTCGCGCTGGTCAGCGCGTGCAGCTGCGGCGGTGTGCTCTACTCGGAGTCCGGCCGGAAGCGCACGGCGCGGGGGCACTGCAAGCCGCCTGCCGCCAACGTGAACGTGCAGACCTAGGCCTCCAAGATGCACCAGGGCGTGCCGCGGCGTGGCCACTGTAGGCAAGCCCGCGACGTCGTGCTGCAGGCCCTGCAGGCCGGCCCCAGCCACGCCTCGCCCGCGGACGGCGGGACCAAAAATAAGAACGAGAAATCGATGAAACGTAATTGTGAGGAGAGGATCGTACGCCCGTAGGTCCACGCCGCGCTACGCCGCACTGCACGACAGACGCGTGGGCAGCCCGCATGCAGTGCGACTCAGTGCGACGCAGTGCGTGAGCCCTGATTGAGGGCCGAAGGCGAAGCCCCCCGAGCACACAGTGTAAGTGGATCCAGCCACGGCGTCGTTGCCCAAGACCGCGCCGCAGACCGCCGAAGCCGCGACGCTCTCGGCGAGCATAAAAAGTGGACTTTCGGGGAAGGGAAGGCTCGGCCGGGCATGACTATGGATGGTGCGGGGAGGTTAGTGGGAGTTGACCGCCACCGGCGCGCCGCGAGCCGCGAGCCACCGGGGAGGAGGCGATGACGAAACCCCCGCGAGGTGTCTCAATTTCCTTTCGGCTTTCGGCTCTCGGGACGCGCTGATCGTATGCTGCGAGAGCGCAAACAAACTTTGTCTGCAAACAACCCCCTCCCTCCCCCTCCCCCTCCCCCGACCCCAGCCGCGCGAGGCCCTTGGCTAATCCCGCCAGATTCGCCCGCGGGCCGCAGGACGCCGCAGGACGCCGCAGGTTGCAGAACGCGATCTCATTAAGGTATGGAAATGGCATGGAGATGCCGGCCGAAGTATGTGACGTGACGGAATTGACGGTAACCGAGACGCTAGACGCGAGTCGGCTGTTTCGCGGGTAAATTTTAAGTTGCAACTCTCGCGGCGTAAAAACAGATACAGGTTACGTTCCTTTCAATCGACAACTTTTTTGTGAAAGCCGTAGGTACGAGAGTGTACACAGTGCCCGAACTCTTTAAGGACTAACCAAATCCGTCGTCGGAACCTGAAATAATAAAATTAATTTAGCGTTTCCTGAGAACAAAGTGTAGGTGTAGGGTTTTCCCTTCATTTGAATATCGGAGCAAAGTGTGCGATCGTGCCCCGTGTGTGCCCCGAGCGGACAAAGGGCTAAACGCCCCCTTTGTGGCCAGCACACTGCCAAGCTACTGCCACTCACGCGGCCGGCGCGGCCCTTGTGCCCATCCACTATTCATTCATCACCGGAAGCAAAAATTGCTCCGCCGAAAGGACCATTTCCAAAGTCATTATTTCGGAATTCGCCAAAGGCGGTGTTCCTTGCTGGAGTCCGAGCTAGCTGGTGGAAGGACAGCGACGGCAGAGCTCGCTTCGCCGGATCCGCGTCAACCTGGAAAAAAGAGGTGACTTGATTTTCAATGTTCTTACAGCGACAGTGACTCAAGAGGACCACCTTGATCCGGGTCAAGCTTCCACTGCAGGCGAAATTCGGTGCCAAACCAATTCATTGGCTGGTCGGAGACTGCGATTTGCGGACCGTCCCCGCCCGTCCCCGCATCCTCCAGTGCATCCTGCTGCTCACAGTGCACGGAGGGGCCGCACGCACAGCCACGTTGAATAGGTGCCCTGACCCCCACAACACGGAGTGCACGCAGGCAGGCAGCCCGAGGTGCTCCGCGCCTCACGTTTCACCGTGCCGCTGTCTCTGTCGCACTCGCGGGGCGTCGCGCAGCGAGAGGTTCGACGCCCCGCGAGTGCGAGAGAGACAGAGACAGCTGCGCTCCTCTAGGCGACACCGAGCCTCCTGCCCACGCATTGTGCGCTCTCCGAGGCTCCGGCCGCTATCCGGTGCCGCGGATGTGAGAGAGAACCGCACCGCGGAAAGAATTGTTTGAGCCTAAATTTATTCTGGATTATTCTAGGTCAGTGACGACGACGGCGGCGAGGTCGGCGAGGCGGCGCACTCGGGCGCACCCCCGAAACAGGGCGAGGAGCTCGGCGAGGAGCGCGGCGAGGAGCGCGGGGTTGCCGCGCACGCACGCACGGTGTACGCACTTCATACGCATGTAAATGACGGGTAGCTTGGAGCTCCCCAACCGCCGCGCACCCTCATGGGAACCAGGGGGTCGCCCCGCACCGCGCCGCGTCGCCGTAGTGGCGGTGGCGGTGTTTGAGATTCGCGGCGCTGCTGCCGATACGAGGGCTGCGCGCCGCGTCGCTGCGGGTTGAGGCTGAGGCCCCCTATGATCGCTGGTCCGCTGGTCTGTGGTCCGCTGCACTCCAAACCGCACGCGCACAAAAACGACCAGAGATTTATGGGTGGAGCGTGCATACCGCCACCAGTGTACCGATAACCGATGCAGTCACATCGGCCGGGACGATACTGCGACGACACGATGTTGTCTCGGGGCAGAGTTTTATTTTGGTTTTTATTTTTTGACCGGCTTGCTGCGTCGGTTGGTGGGTGAGTGCGTGCGCACTGTACATCCCCCAGTGAAAAGCTGCGTGTGTGCCAATATACTCTGCGCGTGTATGTGCGTGAGAGAGAGAGAGAGAGAAAGACAGATCCGCGGCCATGCCCACTCGTTCGGCCAATGGAAGCTCGCCTTCCCCGCTGCAGCCTGGTGGAAGGCTGGCTGGTGCACTCCAAGAGGCTCTCCAGCGATAAGCAGGTTCTCCAGACAAGTGTTCTCTTCAGTCTCCATGTTGGCTCCAGCTCTTCCTCGCGGATCGCGAGGCAAAGGCGCGTCTCGCGGATTCGCAATGCGAAGAATGAGGACGCTGTTCATCAATTTGGTACAAATCACTGGATTCGGAGTCGCGCTATTCACCCGCTAACATTGCCGAAGAGCTATTTTTGGATTCAGGATAACTGCTTCAGCGCGGCTCCCGAATGCATCACACTTGAGTGGCCTCGGCTCGGCCGCCTCGGCCCACTAAATCACCTGAAAACGGGCGCCTTTCGTCCCGTCCCGCTCGGTATATATTGACTCAGGGGGTGCTTCCGCCGCTGAAATGTAGTTCGATTGAAAACAAATTGCGCCCCGCCGCTCCGCCCCTGGAGCAGTTTGTTCAATCGGCGCCGCGGGGGATGTTCGCCGCCTTTGAGGGGCAGGGACACCATTAGCTGGACAGGGGGGTGGGGGTCGCTGCGGAAAGGTCCAGGACCGCCGACCGGCCGCGCCCTGGCAGCGAACCGCCACGCCCCGCCGCGCTGCGCCGCTGCGCCCTTACCGAAGGGCGCTGGCCCCAGCCTGGCCCCGCCGGGGCCCTCCACCGCCACGCCCAGCAGCCCTTGCTGCCTGCGCGCCCTGCGTCCACGGGGCCCAAGGTTAGGGCCGTTGCCCCCACGCCGTCGCGGTCCGCGAAAACACACGGGGGTCGCAGGGCACTAGGGGCGGGGGACGCGAGGGGGATGTGGACGTGGAGGACGTGGGGGCGCACCGCACTGGGGGCGAAGGAGAAAGTTACTGGCGAAGGCTTATTGTTGCACGGACGGGGGGGGGGGGGAGAAAGTTCGCCCCCCGCCTGCCCCCCGTCCGGAGCGCGCAGCACGAGATCGCTACCCCGCCACAGAGCAGGCTGCGCAGGCTCCTCCCGGATTGGCGGGTCGTCGAGACGCTGGCGGGGCGGGGTGGGGCGGGGTGGGGCGGGGTGGGGCGGGGTGGGGTGAGGCGGGGCGGGGCGGGGAGCGGCGTCGCGGGGCGTCGCGGGCGCGGCGGTGCAGCACCACGGCGGTTGGCTGCAGGCGGGGCGCGGGGCGGCCGAGGAGGGGGCCGCGGGAGGTGGGCGAGGGAGGGGCCGCGGGAGGGGGCTGCACGGGACGGGGTGCGAGAGAGAGGAGAGAGGCCCGGGGGCCGGCCGGGGTGCAACGCCTCGCTTGCCCATTCCGGTGAAGGGCTCGTGAAGGGCGAGGGTGGCTGCCACTGCTGCCACTGCCGCCACTCCCCTCCGCCCTGCGCAGCCCTGCCAGCCCTGCCAGCCCTGCCCCAGCGTCCCTTTCAACCCGCTCGCGACTTGCTCGGCGTCGGCCGCGGCGGGGCGGGGTGTGGCGGGTGGGGTGGGGCGGGGCGGGCGGGGCTTGCCGCGAGGCTGGGGCTTTTGAGTCTGTGAAAGCGGGGGATGAAGTGGCTGGTGTTTTTCATTTGGTGCTCCTCGGCGTCCTCGGCTTGCAGCAGCAGGCTCCACCACTCACCGCTCGCCATCACCGCCCACCCCGGGGAACGGCGCTAAATCGCGACGTCAAGCTGCAAATTGGTCTCGGTGACGTGGGGCGTCATCGCGTTGACGGGGCCGCGCCGAGCCCGGGTAGCCTAGGCAAGCCCCTTCGTCCTTCGTCCTCTGTCGAGATCATTATGATAAGGTGGAGGAGCCTTGCCCGGCCTTGCTGACGCAACGCAATTTGGCGACGCCTGGCGACGCCTTCGCAGCCTTCCCCGGCTGCCGTTATCAGCGCGGGGAAATTCGCAATTAGTCGGCGAAAATTGGAGCCGAACGAGAAAAGGGAAAAACGAGAGCGGCGGGGCGCAGGGCGCCAAGGGCTGGGAGGGCTGGAGAGCGCCAGGGCTCGCTGCAGTCACATCATTTGGCGTGTTCGTTTCTTTCTGCTCTGCTGGTGATTCGAT